TAACCCCTGGGAGCCCGGAGTGGGCGTGTTAGTGACAGGCCAGGGAGAGGTCAGAAGAGGATTACCAGGCACTAAGGGGCAAGTTCATAGAATTATGAGTCACCCCATTAAGAGAATGTACTAATCCAGAATATATGCATAAATTCAAATTACAGGAAATAAAAACTGCCATTATTAAAAGAAAAACAAGATCACACTGCTGAATTTCACACACCGCTCTCTGACAGCACAAAGCGAAAACTGATTAAGTCTGGAAGATTTGAATAGTGTCAACCGACTTGTCAGAAATGACATTTAGAGGGTGCTCCACCCATAAAACACACACACTTCCCAAAAAGGTTTGGGGCCTTCACCCAAAGAGACCAAGTGGTGAGCCCTAAAACAGGCACACACATGTTTTCAGAGAATTACAATCATACATTTGTAGTCTGATCAAAATAGAATGGAATTAGAAATCAACAACAAAAAATCCCTGTTTTTCCTGGGGAAAATCCCTGACAGTTAAAAATTAAATAATATGCTACTAATTAACTCATAGGCAAAGAAATCACAAGAATATAATGAAAATAAAAACCACATCAGAATGTGTGGGATGCAGCTGAAATAATGTTTCAGGGAGATTTATAAATTCAAATACTTATAAAAAGCCCAGCCTAAGATCAATGAGTAAGCCTCTTCTTTAAGAAATTGGAAAAAGAAATTAAGCCAAAAGTAAAAGGACATAATAAAAAAGAGCAGCCAATGAAGCCTAAGCTAACTTGCATTTGAAAAGGCAACAGTTCAACTGATACACTTCTAGCTAGATTAAGGGAAAAAAGGCAAATTATTCACAGGAACAAGGAAATATCAATGACTCCTCCAATGCATTTGCTAACTGAGAGGGTAATTACCTGAAAGACACAAATTATCACAACGGAAATAGGAAGATTTAAAAACTACGAATCTCCCATATCTGGAAATAAATTTTAAATCATAGTTAATTTCCTGCAAAGAAAATTCCAGGCCCATGTAGCTTCCCTAGGTAATTAAATATTTAATCGAGAAACAATCCCTACACAAAGTCCTGAAGAAAACGAGGGAAACCAGTCGACAACATCAAAGAAATCCCAGGAAAGGGCCCTCCCTGGTTGCCCAGTGGGTTAAAGTGCAGCACTACAAAGCTGTCTGCAGCTACTGCAGCACAAGATCGATCCCCGGCCAGGGAGCTGACCACAAGGCCTGGCAGACCCCTCCTGACCCGCTGACTGCTCCCCTCGGCAGTGTGCTTCAGTTTATCTGCTTCTTCTACTTCCAACTCTGCTTCTGGTGAATCCTCTCACCCTCACACCTCTGGCCTGTACCCCAGCTCTGTATGTGTAAATAAAAAAATAAGTCTAAGGAAAAAAAAGAAGCTCCAGAAAAATATTCTTTATGAACACAACAATCTTTAGTAAAAAACAGGAACCTCAAGTTCAGTAGGAATGCAAGGTTGCTTATATCCGTCCCACTTCACTACAGTAACAGAATTAGGAGAACACCAGATTCGCCCACGACAGACACAGGAAGAGCATGTGTCCAACAACACGGGTCCACGATGAAAACTCTGAGCAGGTAGGAAGAGCGAAGAACTCCCCCAGGTTACTGCCTTACCTACCAGCATCAAGAACAGGCCAGAGCCGCCCTCACCCATCCACACTGAGCGGCCCCCAGCGGAAGGCAGGGGAGGCGTGACGGGTGAGGGGCGGTAGAACGGCCTTGCTTTTATGTGGGGGATCTTAACAGGTAAAAAGCTACTAGAATCATAATTGAATTGAGTGAGGTCACAGGATCTAAGGATATGTAAGTAACTACATTTCTAGAAATCAGCAATAAATAATTGGAAAACAGTAAACACCACCTTTTACCACAAAGTATATGTCAAGTCTGATAAAGCGAAAACTAGGAAACACTGCTACAACTGAAAAAGACTAAAAAAAATGAAAATTTAGAAGGAAATTTGACATTCATGGGTGGAAAGTTCAATTACTGTTTAGATGTTAGTTCTTCCCAAGCTGATTTACAGATCAATGCAATCTCACTCCAAGTCCCAGAAGCCTTTTATTTCTAGAATTTGACAAGCTGATTCCAGTACTTGTGGAGATGCAAATGACTCAGAATAGCCAACACTGCAGAGCACCGCAGCCGGCTCAGCCCTGAGGGGCGCCATGCCCCAGGCAGTGGGGTGCTGGCAGCGGGCAGACACTGACAGATGGGGAGACAGACCTCCAGGGTCCAGACACAAATGCCAGCTGGATCCTGATAAAGAGCCACAGAGCTGGGCGACGTGTTCGAGGTCACTGAACTAGCATCCGTGGAGCCAGGCGCAGGCCTGCCCCCGCCCTCCCGTCAGCATGGAGCAAGCCCAACTCAGCTGCCCTCCAAGCCCCTGCCTGGCGCAGGCTGCCTGTCGGCCCGTGGCACCCCGCAGGTGTAGGCACCCCCACTTCAGAGCTGCTTGCTGTCGTCACCCAGGGCTGACGAGAAAGTGCCCTAGACCTGAAAGTGACGTGAGGTCTCAAGTGGAAGCAGCACCACAGCCTCCTATGCGACACACAAGAACGAATTCTCTGAGGCAGAAAGGCAAAGGAGCAGAGCGCGTCCTTCCGACAACCCAGTTCCTAAGTCAAAAAAAAGTGGGAGGATCCTACATCCCTCACTGCAGAACCTGGCTGATGCCCCGGAATGACCCTTAGGAAACCAAGGAGAGCGGCCTGGGGAGGGACTCCAGTCTGAGTGCCGGGTGCGCGGACGCCCTCGCAATGCGGGGTGCCCAGCACTCAGGAGTGGGGAGCTGGGCTGCTCCAGCCCCTGGGTACAGTCCGAAGCTGCAGTGGCCTTTCAAGGTGTCTGACCTCCTTTGCCTCATTCTTGTCCACAGTGAAACAGGGACCCTAACTGGCATCGCTCATGCGCCGGGGGCTGCACTGAGGATTTGCTGCCACACTCGTCGGGCAGTGCGAGCGCGGAGGGGCTGGGGGCGCGCTCGTCCTGGCCTCCTTGGGGTGGTGGGGGCGCGCCCAGGAGCAGGGAGGCCTCTAGGTTCTGGCCGCCCAGGGTGAGCACTGGGGAAAGCCCGAGCCTGCAGGCCTGGGCCAGCAGCCGCGCAAAGCATGGGGCGGACACCAGGACAGGGGGCCCAGCACCGCCCGTGCCGCTGTGTTTTCCACATGCTGCCTTTTCTGCACCCAAGTCACGCCAATCTTGCTGTACCCTGGACACAGCTATTACTCCACAACATGTCTCAGGGCATCCGAGGTGAGCTGAAAGTAGAATAGCTGGTGTTAGAATCTGGGTCTGTTTGGAATTCTTTGCTCTGACTCTACCACTAAAGAGAAGCAGGAGGAACTGGAAGACATGGCGCTTCTCTCTCCGCCTGACGCGTGAACCGCCTGGGCTCTCAAGAGCGCAGACTTCCGGAAACACCAGCAGCCAGCACTCCTGTCTGCCCGATGGCTGTCAAGGGCCCCTCGAAGTTCACAGACCCCTGGGGCTGAATACATCACCTAGGCCCCGCGAGCCCAGCTGCCTCAGTCTCCCTCCGGAAGCTGAGGAAGCTCGTTAATGAGCAGGAAACAACAGCCTTCGAGGCCCGTCAGAGGCAGGGGCTGATACACTAGCGCAGGCCCAGCCTGGCGGTCACCATCCCTGCAGATAAAGGCCCCCCGGGGCGTGCGCTGCTTCTCCGGGAGGGGTCACGGGGGAGGCTCAAGGCCCCAGTAGGTACAAACTTCCCCTCACATAAGTTTGCCAGCCTCTGACCTAAAGCCGTGAGTGAGACACTACAATCCTTCTAAGAGAAGTCTGTTTCAGAAAGTGCCAAGAAAGCCATCATCTCTAAGTTTTTATGATCAGGAAAGCACATAAAAAACAGAAATTTGCCAAGAGGAGCTACAGGTGGAATCAGCTGAACACACTGGCAGCCTGACTGGCAGCCACCGAGACAGATGCCCACCGTCTCCTGGCTCAGGGGCAAACGTAAGGATAGTCGTGACGAGGCTACTGCCACGTGGTGACCTTTCAATCAAACCATCAAACAGCAGAGGCGATCGAGGACCAGACAACCTCCGGGGTGGGGTCGAACCCGAGGCTACTGCACGTTCGACAGGCTCCACCCGCCGGGGAGCTGAACTTACGTTATCCAGGTCCTTCCGCAGGGCGATCTTGCTGGTCACCAGCTCATGGGCCAAGTCATCATTTTCCTGTTCCAGCCTCATGTTGGCTTCTTGTAGACGCCTATTCTCCCGCTGAAGGGCAGAAAGAAACCAGTAAAAGCCACATAAAAATCAGATTAAATGATACATTTCCAGGGTTCCTCCTGCAAGCTCATTTCTGAGTCCTACGGAAGTAGTGGAGGCGTGTTGCACCCTAGCGGTACTCACCAAGACTTCACTTTGTCCATAAAAGAAAAGCTTAACACGCCCTCCCTGGTGGCGCAGCAGGTTAAAGCGCAGCACTGAGAAGCTAAAGCCGCCTCAGCATGAGTCAGATCCCTGCCTTGGGGGTGACACACACGGCGCAGCAGACCTCTCCTGACCCGCCCGCTGCTCCCCTCAGCAGTGCACTACTTCAGTCAGCCTGTCCTGCTCCCCACTGTCTCTGGTGAATCCTCTCGCCAACCCTGCACCTCTGGCCTGTACCCCAGTTCTGTATGCATAAATAAATCTTTAAAAAAAAAATGCTTAACTTGAACCAGTTAATAAGAAGCAGCTACTTCTTATTAACTGTGACGAAAGCCACTGAGCTGTAACAAACCAGGTGGCTGGTCTGAAGCACAACATGTCTTGCTTTCTCATCTGCAAACTCAAACTGAAACTTGGACCGAGAAACAGTGGAGCTGCGTTTCAAGGCCTCAGCACAGCTGGGCAGGGGCGCAGGCCCACGTGAAAGGGCGGCGGCCTTCCCAGCCCCCCACAGGCACCTCAAATCGCTCGATGGGGTCTTCTTGCTGGGCCTGCTGCTCCCTCATGGTGTGGTACTCCTTTTCATATTTCTTCAGCTTCTTCTGGCTGATCTGCAGGGTAAATGACAGCACAAATCAAAAAATTCCAGAAGACAGTGGCTTCCTCAGGGCTGTTCCGTGCATTCCCAGTCAGTATGAAAGTCACTTCGGTCTGGGGAGGCCAATTTTCAGTGTGGGCAGATGCCCAGGGTCCAGAACTCTTCCTCAGTGACAACTATTGTCCAGGATTCTGCCAGGGGTATCTGGTTCCTACTAAACAGTGCCCAAATGGACACCTCCCAGCGAGCCCCACCCACCTGAGTTCTGGGTTGGTGGCACCTGCACCCCCTCTCCATTTGATTTAGCACACTGCCAGGTCTTTACATCTGTGACCTCACAACTCCTCGACCAGGGCAACACCGCTGCCCTCACCCCACAGGCAAGTTAACTGAGGCAAAAGGTGCTTCTGTAACCTGACCAAGATGCTCACCAGGGCCCGATGCTGAGGCCACAAAGCTCTGCCACAATCCACACTGCAGCCCCTCCATGCTCCCATGCTCCCACCAGGCCCCCGCGCCGCACCCCTCGGCTGTCGCACAGGCTGGATTCTCTCTGCCCAGTCCGCAGGCTGCCCGCTTCCCCTCAAGCTTTCTTGCGAGCCCTAGGCCTGCGTGCTCACCTTCATTGCTTCAGGCCCTCCGGCCAATAAAAGTTCCAGCCAGGCTTCTGCCCTGAGGCTGTCTGCCCAGCAACCACAGAGGCGACCACCGGTTTCTTTATTCACCTCATCAGCAGCCCTACTACACCCCAAAACACTTCTCTGAAATTTGTTTGATTCCTTTCTCTAAACTACTACTCACTCCCTTCGGTGTTCTAGCAAATGACAGAAAATTATGAACCACAACAGCAGAGATGATGTCCTGTGGGCCTGTGCCGTGGACGGGCGATCACAAAGCCAGGGCTCAGCCCCCCCAGAGCTCCAGGATCCAGCACCTCACAGCTGACTCTCAATCTCACTCCTGCCGGCCCTCCCGCCCGCCCCGTTCCAGGTAATCAGGAACCCCAAAGCCGGTGTAGTCCAGCTCCTTGCCTGACAAGTAAAGAAACAGACTGAGGCCCACGTCTGCGCCCTATACCATCCCCTGTGATGCCACCCAATGCCCCGAGCTGCTGGGGTTCTCCTCACTGACTGCGCCCCTGCCCGCACTGACATTCGCTCGCTGGGCTGGCTCGGTTGGTGCAGGCCAGCAGCGCCCGCCAGGCTGCGGCCGGCACCGGGATGCCCATCAGCACTGGGGGAGGCCACAGGCTGGGAGCGACATCTCAAACCCAGGTCTACTGGGTCTTCTGCGGTTCTAAGGCCAATGCTGGGTAAAAGCTGAGTGTTTACCTAAGTGATTCACAAAGAAAGGAACTAAATAAAATGTGTGATCAGTAAATTCATAGGCAATCCTAACAGATCGATCAGAGGAATAGAGAATAAAAAGCTGTGGGCAGCAGACACTCCCACCAGAGCTCTGGGAAGTCTCAAGGATGCAGAGAGCCTCACCCCAGGCGCTGGCCGGGATGGAGCTGCCAGGCACTCCTGCCTCAGGCTCTCCCGATGCCCTCTCACCCTGGGCACAGGAGTCCCAGGCCCAGCTAGGGGCCAAGTGCAAAATAGTTTCAACTCATTATCTGGTACCACCAATGCCTCCTCCTCAGAGGAAAAGGCGGCCCCTCGCCCCGAGGGCCCCATGCGGGCTGGCTGCACCGGTCTCCATGACATCTGCTCCACCCACAGTGGGCCTGGAGAACAAGCTCTCGTGAAATTGCTCCAGTTATTTCTGTTTTACAATGTGCCTCTTTTTATAAATAATGCTGTTCTAGCAAACATCTCCCAATTACCCTGGGGCTGAGTGTGCTGCTCCCTGTTCCAGAGCTCCGCCTCAGGCCAGCCTCCACCCTCACAGCCTCCTGCAGTTCTGAGCTCCCACCCGGCTCAGCTCCCTCATGTCAGTCCTCAGCCCCATTGTCCTCACTTCGCTCCCGCTCCCTTGCTTCCTCAGATGTCCTGCTCCCACCCACAACCCCAAACAAAACAAAACTCTCCGCCCAAGGCTGCACGCTAAAGCCACCTGGCTCAGGGCAGCGGAGGCATGGACGCCCCAGAAGGGCTGGGCACCTGAGTGGGAGCCAGGGGAGCCGGCCACGAGGCGGCGATCCAGCGTCCTTACGAGGCTGTGGCCTCTCTGGGGGACAGCGGCGGCTCTCCCTTGTCCTGCCAGCACACTGCGTGCCCAGCAGGCCACATCAACGACCCCTCCTCCTTTCCTCAACCTGCCTCTGAGTGGAGACGGCCACCCCAGTGACGGTCTCTCTCCGCTGGCCCTCCCTGGCCAGGCCCTCTGCCAGCAGCACCACACCTGGTTTGCTGCTCCTCACCTCTGGGGCCGGGAGTCGGCCACGGCTTCTGCAGGGCCTGCGCCCCGCGCCCGCAGAGCAGGCTCTCACCGCACGAGCCAGTGCCCGGGCCGCCTGCCACGCCCCCTGCAGACCCACCAGCCAGGCTCAGGCCCAGCACTCCCCTCCCCACGCTGCCCCCCATGTGAACCTGAAGTGGCGGGGGCGCAGCTGGGTGCTGCACACATCCAAGCTGTCGTTAACCTAACACGGACGCAGCGGGGAGACGATCTGCTGGCACTTCCTGGGGACATCAGCCGCGCAGACGGAAGGTGGCAGATCGCAGAAGCCCAGCCCACAGGGCAGAGCCTCCCGCTCGCCTGACTCGGTGTCCAGCGCACACCTCACAGAGACGTGGTCCCCACTTTTAAAAGTCCAGCATTTCACATGCCCTCAGAGGGCAGGGAGCCCACACAACAGCCCCAGAGCCCACCCCTGTTGGCGCCTCCCACCAGGGCCGGGAGCCTCGGCAGCACACTCCCAGGCATTTTCATCATCCAAGAAGATTCAGTGTGAACTTGCTCGGTATTTACGTTTGTTCGTTTAAGTGTTCTTCTGGAGAGGGAGGACGTCTAGTCTTGCGCCTCACGGCCGTCGTGGCAGTGGCTCGGAGCCCCTAGCAGCGCGCTTCTGCAAGGCTCCGAGAGCCAGTTCCCAGGAAAAGCCCCCCAGCTCCCGCTTCCCACTCCTTGAGGCTGGCCACAGGCCGGGACTAGGAAACCTTGGGCTAGAGCGGAGGTGGAGACTTGGACCCAGCGGTGTGGTGTGTGGTGGAAGCAGGAGTCTGGCCGCTCCCCCACCACTGTCTCGGGACGCAGGTGGTGATCGCCGTAAAACGCTCCTTGCCCTGGAGAGCCGAGCCTCACCCAGCTCTGGGACAGCAGGCCGGGGCCAGCGGGGAGGCGGCGGGAGGGTGCTGCCAGCTGGCTGCAGTGGGGCGCTCTGCCGCTCAGAGCTTGGGCTCCCCAGGGTAGTCGGGCTCTGCTGACGACTGACCACGGGGCTGAGGACAAGCTGAACACCCTCAGCCTCGGCCGCCGCCGGTGAGGATGGCGTGACACAGACACACACCATGAACAGCTCGGCACAGAGGACCCGACAGCAGCTACTGCTCACTGTCAGCCGCTGCGGTGCTGACTCGGACAGCGCTCTCTGAGCACGGGCTGCGAACAACCAGCCTTCAACCAAAGTCCACTTAACACAGGCACACAGCAGGTCGGCTGTGGACTGGACGACGGAGCTGATGTCCAAGTTCGCTTAACTGCTGTAGAGGTCAGAACCCCCTGGGCGGGAGGGGAAAGGAGCCCAGGGCGGTGGGCAGCTGCCTGGGCTCTGCAGGCTGAAGCGGGCTGTCCAGAGGCTGCCGGGCAGGGGCGGAGCCAACACGCAGAGGAGAGCCGCGCAGCTGGATTCCCCCGTGAGGGCCAGCGTGCTCTGCCAGCACCGGTGGCCGGTGCTCGTCGGCGTGCGCCATGCCCAGGGCTAGCCCGGCTCGCGGCACATGAGGGAGCATGGCTGCAGGCGTGGGCAGGGCGGATGGCGGGGAGGGAGGTGGGACACTGGCGCCTGAGAGGACAACGGCCGCCAGAGGAGGGCGACTCCAGGAGCTTCCTTCTCTCTACAGCCCGGCCCTGTCTGCCTCCCAGGTCCCTCAGAGGGGCAGGACAGGGGGAGGCCCAAGCCGTGGGATGCCGAGGCCTGCCTTCATGACCTCCTGAAACAAATCAGCGTTGGGTCTATTTAATTTCTCAGCCTTTTAATTTAATGTGTTCCAACGGTTCAGATTCAACGCTCTCAACCATGGTGAACAGGATTAGGCGTTCCTCTTCTACAATCAGAGTGTTTTTCTAGAACATAAGAAACAAATTAGCCACAAGGGACCCAACCAGATAAGGAACAAGACCAGCTTCTTCATGTAAAGCAGTGGCCACTGCTGACCTGACAGCAACTACAAAATTTAGGGCTCACTGCAGAGAGAGGACAGAGTCTCCCCACACAGTCCAGCTCGCAGAGCCAGCCACAGCCTGGCCAGGTTCCGCGGCTCGGAGGCGTGGGGCCAGGGTAAAGGAAACCGCAGCGGACGGCGGCGGCCCAGGCAGCACCACCACGTGGCCCTCTCATGCAGACGTCGCCCACCGGGAGCCCGCACAGCGGCTCCTGCCCAGCCCTTCACCTCCCGGGTACAGAGAAGCACACGAACAGCGGCGCTGAACTTCCTGCGACCCCGCCCCACCTCCGTCGCTTTCCCCTGAGCTTCCAGACACACGACGTGAAGCCGGTGCCACGGAGCCTGTGCGGTGACTCGCCACGTGGCGGCGCGGCGGCGCTGTGCATGGCCCTGCGGACACAGCAAGAAATGCCGGCGGTCAGGCCCTGCTGCTGCCGAGCTCGAGCTCTTCGCCCAGGCCCAGAGCGCTCCAGCGAGAATGAAGGTCAAGTTGGTGGCACTTTCAGCTCAAACATACAAAGGACCCCGAGGGCAACTAAGTTACCAAATGCCAAGTGATTTCTCCATCTCTCCAAACAAGCGGGTGGGGTCTGTTCATGGGGAGATGCTGCGTGGTATCTGCGGGACACCGTTCCTTGCAGAGCCCGGAGGCCGGCACAGGCTGTCGCTGTAGGGAGACGCCCCACGCGCGGGCTCGCAGGTGCACGCGGCGAGCCGAGGGCGGATCTCCCAGGAGTCCTGCCTGCCCCTCTGCTGCATCATCCTGCCCCTTCCAGACCAGCCTCAGGGCCCTGACTTGTCCTCAGAGGCCCCTGCAGAGCCAGTGGTTCTCAAGGATTTCTTGAGTCAAAACTTGAAAGGACTGAAAACTCACGCCTCCCCCAGCTCCCCGACGGTGTGGCGCAGTGGGGAGAACACAGGTGGCGGAGCCGCGGGGCCGCTCCCGGCCTCCTGGGGCCAAGGACTCAAGGACCTACCGAATTTTCTGACCTGAGCACCCAGAGAGGGAGAAACTCAATGGCCAGCTCTGGCTGTTGACACCTGCTGCTAAATTTCAGCTGAGGAACAGGCCATCCGGAACTCAAGCAGTGGATACGTCAGTACTAGAAGAGGCTGAGGACACAGGAGGAAAAAGGCTGAGAAGACGCACGTGATGAGACCAAAGGGCGGCAGGCCGAGGCGGCAGAGGGCCGGCGCGTCTGGTCTCCCGGCGCCTGCACTGCTGGCCAGTGCAGCTGGCCGTCTGCAGACCTCCTGTGCCACATGCGGTGAGTTCAGGGCGGCAAACTGCAAGGGGTAAGCGAGACGCTCACAGAACTATGCACATGTCAACATTTACAGCCACGGCGACACAGCTGTTAAAGCTGTGCAGTCAGGACACTCCACAAGGCAGCTCAGCTGCTATATGGGCTGGCACGAGGTGAGTAGCCCCCATCCCCACCTTGCAACACAGGACTGTGAGTACACCCATCAGAATCTTTTGAAAATTCAAAAAAAAAAACAAAAACAAAAACAAAAACAAAACAAACCCAAAAAACAAACCACGGGATCGCTACTGTTAGCCGGCCTCTAAATTCCGCGTCAAAAGCCCACACGCGCGAGCTCGCTTCCAAATCACGGCACCACTGGGCCCCTCCCCACGCGAGGAGGCGCCAAGGCCCCAGTGAGCGAGGGTGTCGCCTCTCGCGGCCCCTGGTGGAGGCTGCCAGGGAGGTTCTGACGTTGGGGCTGGCAAACTGACGGTGTCTGAGGTTCTCTGAGGTTCTCTGTCCGCGACAGCACAGCTACTGCCGCCGCCCGCCACAGCTTTGGCAGTAACCCTTCCCGACTCAACTGTGCATGCCACACCCCACCTTGAAGCCGGAAGCCTCACTCTCTCGTGTCCTGGCAAATCTGTGCAAGTTTCTCATGCTTTGAGTCATTTTCCAGAGAAATTACCACTCTTCTCACCCAAAACCCTGTGCAAGGAGAGAACTCTGAGAACGTGCACCAAGTCACGCAGTGTGCTCCAGGGCTGTGGGAACTTATCTAAGTGCAAAGTATGGTGCTTGCAGCCTCCTTCACACCTTGAAAGCACAGGCAAGCAAGACAGGCATTGGATACTGCCATCAGGACTACGAAAATAAAGGATCCATTATTAACACGTTTCAAGCTAATGAAAACCCAAAAGGTAAACCTTCAGGAGAAGCTGTTTTTAAGTCTTGCCCAAATCCATGTTAACCCTTACTTAGCAGAGACTGGACAGTGTATTCATTTATTCTCATTAGCCAATATTTACATGTCAGGTCTGGTGCTTGTGCTGAGGATTCAGCAGTGAACGAGAGAAAGTCCTTTAGTCAAAGGTTTAATTCCACCTGGGGTAGGAGCTTGGGTAAAGATGACAGACTGACCAAGAAATATGAAATCGTGCTAGGCAGCTGTAAGTGACAGGACAACAGTTAAAGGCGAGAGGGAAGGTGTGCAGGCTGGCCAGAACTGCTACTTAAGACGCCAGAATTAAGCGCGTGGGACTTGAGCCCGGCCCAGAATGAGGCAGGTGACGGAGAAGCCTCCAGGCATTCCGGGCAGAGACCAGTCAGTGCAAATGCCCCAGGGCTGAGCACGCTGTGCCAGGACACCCAGTTTCTGAAATGAGAAGAGCCAGAGGGAGAAGCAGGAGGGAATGACATCAGAGAGGCACAGAGACGGCCAGAGGTCAGGCTGGATCGGGTTCCACAGCCAAGAAAGAACTCTCGAGTTTCATTCTGAGATAAGAAGCCACCAGAAGGTTTTAGGTGCGAGCGGGAGGGAGAGAGAGACATATGGGACTGGGGAAAGCATGGGAGGAGACTCCTGTGAAAACAGGAAGACCAAGGAGCCTACTGGGGAGTCCGGAAGAAGTGAAGCAGCGATGGCTACAGCAGTGTTGGCGATGGCGATGCAGAAAATGGTCGGATTCAGGAAGCAGGTTGATGACAGGGCTGGAATCTGGAGGGGGGGCGAAGAGGAGCTGAGTGGACAGCAAGGCTTTGGGCCCGTACCACAAAGCAGGTCCCACAAACTGAGGCGGCGACCCTGAGAAGAGCAGGCTCTGAAGGGAAAACCCCCAAGCAAGTGAAGCAACAGCATCCCCGTGTGCTGAAACAAGTGGAGATAGAAAGTGTCTCCAAGAATCTCAGAGTTTATCTGGTTTTGTGCTCCTTGCGCAAGCCCCTGATCCTTGGAAGATCACCAGAGCGTTTGATTTCTGCTTGAAAGAGCAGCAGGAATAATCCCAGGAGAAGCCGTCACCCCTCAAACCCGCGGGGCCGCGAGACACCTTAGCAGTGAGTCCTCCCGCTCAGGAAAGCTGCCCACAGGCCCTGGCACATGGTGACAACATCAAATGTTAGTCGCAGGCTGTGAAATATGTAACATTTTAAGTGAAATGACTTTAATGATACATTTCTGGAAGTTCTATTTCCTCTTTTTAAATCTCCAATTCCTTTATAATTTCTGTCGCCTCTCATTTTAATGGGTACAACTTTGGTATTTCTGGGTCACAACTGGGCACTCACCCCACGGGCCTCAGCTTCAGGCAGGGGCATGTGTTTCAGTTGCCGCTGAAAGCCCAAAGCCCCACCCCATGTCCACGAGAGTTTCAGGTCCCTATCTCGAGGCTGCTCTCCCCGTCCCCACACTTGAAACTCCTGTTTTGGGTACCTGCATATCTTCTTTTTCCTTTTAGTTCACCCAGGTATGCAGACATCTCTTGGGTATATTTTATTTAGTGTCTCCAAGGGTCTTTAAGAAGGGAGCTCAGTCTCACACACACCCAGCGAAATGTCCGGTATTGCCTTACAGACAAGGGAATCAGGTGGCGAAATTGAGAGTCCAGAGAACTTTGATTCCAAGTCCCTGTTCTCTTTTCAGGAGACAGCGACCCTCTCTCCTGCCGCGTCTGCCCTGACACACGGACCCCAGCGCCACCCCTGGAGTCGCATGGCGGAGGCAGGACGGTCAAGCCCCCCCGCATCTGCAGGGAGCCGCCCACACCTTCTCTGGCGCCTCTAACTGTGCTACCAAACCGAACCCCTCAACCACAGTCTCCTCTAAGCACAAAGACTTCTTATAATGACATGGACACAGGGTGACACTGCAACTTTTTATCTTAAAAAAAAAAAAAAAATCACACAAATCACAAATGCCACTGGAAGTGGTAAAATTGAGTGGCTTCTCCACATATTATTGGTTCCATTTTCGGGAACAGACCGTCACACGAACACTGGAGTCGCAGGGGACAGAGCAGAAGCCGTGCAACGGAGTGCGGCCCCTAATGGGCCTGGTGCAGGGGAGGGGGTGGTGACAAAGTCTCTCTGTATTGGTTTGCCTCTGAGTGGAAATACCTGCCAGTGCGCAAATGGGACTTGAGTTTGGGGGTGGGGTGGGGGTGAGGGGAGGGGGGGGTGAGCAAAGGCAGGGAAATTTAACACACAGAATGTATGAAAACAGTTGGGAAAGGGGCACAATATAAAAGAAAACATTATTACTAATGTGATATAAATGTAATAGTTTGATCAGAATTATGACACACTGACTTTCCCAAAGACTCTAAATGAGTGCAAAAATTATCTTACCTTCATATTGCAAGCGAGTTCCATTAGCTTTTTTGCATTTTCCTCCGAACGGTATCTCTTAGGAAGCTGAACCCTGAAGAACTTCAAGGCACCTTCAAAGTCTGTCAATAACAAGTCATCCTTGGAGGTCTTGAGGGGGAAAACAAAATACAACCACGTAAATAAAGTTTTTTATGCTATGAAGATACCTAAGAAACATTTTATTATCCCAGCAGAAGCTCAGAAAAGCCTTCCCAGCCTTCTCAGGAGCTGCAGGCACACCCCACTGTCAGGGACAAGGGTGGACAGAGCGGCTGCTGAGGACGACAGTGAGGCCAAGATGGTGCAGACGCTGACCAGGGACTGGGAGTCCCTGCACAGGAGTAACTCCGGGGCCCTTGCTTCGCTCTGCTGCGCTCCAAGTACAGCTGAATGTGCTCCAGGCTCCCTCCAACCTGCCTTTCTTCATCTGACCATTCTGGATGGGGTGAAGAGGGTGGGGGTGGGGTGCCATTCTGGACGCCAGGTAGCTAAGAACAAGTATGTACCTTTAGTAATCCGAGGGCGACGTTAAAAATGACACTTATTCCCTAAAAGAGAAAAAACACAAAAGAACGTTTCAGCCTTTATATCTGGAATATTACGCTGTAGGTCCTTCCACAGTTTTAGAGAACTGCAAAAACTTGTAACATCAAGTATCTTGAAAATACCTCAGAACATAAACAGCACAGAGCCACACCGAAAGCCACTTAAGACAGACCCAGACGCCCACTTTTCTGAGAGCAGAGCGTGTGTGGCCCAACCTCACGGCCAGCAACAACGGACGCCTCCCGGGTCGCTGGGCTGCCCACACAAAGCCCCACAGCTGCAAACCAGGCTGGACAGGAGTAACTCCGGGGCCCTTGCTTCGCTCTGCTGCTCTCCAAGTACAGCGAATGTGCTCCAGGCTCCCTCCAACCTGCCTTTCTTCATCTGACCATTCTGGATGGGGTACAGGGGGGCAGGGGGCCATTCTGGATGGGGGATAAATGAGAGGAGGCACAACACCTGCTGCTCAGGTTGAGCTATTTCGGTTTCTGGGGCTCGGTTTCTACCATCTTCCCCTAAGGTTTTTCTGAGCTCATTTGTGCGAAAGTTCACGTCAACTACTCAGCCTTTAATTGGGCCCTCTGTATCTACTTACAAATGATTCTTTTATAATAGTGAAATGTGCGATGACTTAAAGGTTTGCAATTAGGAAATGATTAAGCACATTATGATACATCCAACAATGGGAACTTTAGCTGCACATCAGAACAATGATATATTCTGGTCAGACTATTTCACATTTCCAGCTGATAGAAGGCCCACGTTCTTTAAAGAATTTCTGTATAGTTAAACAAAAAGATGGCATAGAGATGTGTGTGTGTCTATAGACGTTCTGGTATTTATACAGGACCAAACTGTATAAATAACAATCATAATTTTAAACAATACATATGGGACTATAGTTACATAATATCACATTATATAATATATTCCGTTATATAACAGTCCATTTTATATTACATTATAAAATATTCCATATGAAAAAAACTACGCCATACTTCAGAAGCCACACACATACACATATGAACACAAACAAGCTGAACAAGTGTGAAGCAGAGGTGTGCTACCAGAGGTTCGCTCTAGGCAGTGGGACTAGAAAAACTTGAAGGACTTTTGCCTACGTTTTCTATAATAAGCATTTACTGCTTTGGAAACCTTTTCTTGAACAAACCCAAAACTATGAAAATACTTATTTGCTCTAATACCTATTCCCTTTCAATATCAGACTCCCAGTTTTAGCAAATTCCTACTCGGCTTTAAAAACAAGTACTCCCTGTGGCTGCCTGTGCTCCTGGGCCTAAGTTCTGGCCAGAGTCTACAACGAGAGGTAAGTGGGTGGAGGGCACAACTGCCAGGAGGGGCCTTCATTTTTTAAGACTTACTTATCTATGCACACGAGAACTGGGATACAGGCCAGAGGTGCAGGGGGCAGGCTAAGAGGATTCACCAGAGAGAGAGTGGGGAGCAGAACAGGCCGAATGACTGAAACACACTGCTGAGGGGAGCAGCGGGCGGGCTGCACCACTAACTTGTGCTGCAGCGGCTGTGGACAGCTTCACAGTGCTGCGCTTTAACTCGTTGCGGCTCCGGGAGGCCCAAGAAGCTGCTTTCAAAGAGAGACGGATGTGTCCTCCCTCCCCATCCGCTGGTCCCCCAGTGCGGACGGGGCGGAGGGGCTGGCGTGCGCATCAGCGCCTGGGACACCACCACCCACCTTGGCTTCTGTCACACAAGGGAATGAAACCTCCGCTCTCTTTAGTCACTGTTATTTCGGGCTTCATTAAATGGAGTCAAATCTAATACTAATTAAAACTAATGGCTGATAGGTGGGCTTATTTTCCTCCTCTCTTTTTAAAGCAAGGAGCACCTTTAACAAAATGTGAATATTAGCTTTTGCCCCCAAAAGAGTCACTTAAACCTGGATTTTCCAGCACTGAAAACAGTAAGAACAAATTCTGCTTCCACAGACTGACACAGGAAGGACGGGGCCACCACGCCAGTGCTTGGCCGCCATCGCACCTCACAGAGCAGCAGGTCGATGATGTGGAAGACCATGTAGAGAGGGAACTTCGCCGTGAAGAGCGTCAGGAACCACTGGGAGGCGTACATGTGCGCTTCGAGGCTGATATCCAGGAAGTGGTTGTACAGGTCAGGAATGTATTCCTGAAATAGAAGACTAATTAGTTGTGGGCACACAGGCGGTTGTTTGACTCCCACACAGGAGGCTCATAAATCTGCCACGAACAGCCCAAAAAAGTCAGATATGCTGTCTTTTTCTCAAACCTCTAAAGTGTGAGGAAGAGCACCGTCTCCTTTTAGACTGGCGCTCAGTTCTTTTCCCAGTTCAGACTAGCTCTAAGGGGTGAGTCCCCAAAATGGCAACAAACATTTGGACAACTGTTTTCTCCTTCTGAGTTACGAAATATTTGGAAAAGTTTGTTTCACTTTGTTATGCCACTCCTGCCCAGTCAGCTCCAGAACCTTGGTGAATATTTCTTGACTTGAGCTTTATGTTACGGGCCCAAACATAGTTATCTGCCCTTCTGGATGTTTTTGAGATTGAAAACCCAGCTCATACCCACCAGGCTCACACCCTGTTCCTCCTGCATCTTCAACACACTGTCAGAAGTGAAGGGTCTGGCACGACCAAGGCCACCACCCCACCCTCCATCACCACCCTACTCCATCAGTCCGGCCAGCTTCTATAGGCAAATGCCAGCTGGCTTCTCTTTTTACCTGCATGAGGCGCTCTAGTTGATAAAATTTGCAATGCAAATCTTCAAAGTTTTGCTTGAAAAGTTCCCTGAGGCCATAGTCAAACATGATCTTGACCAGGACACTGAACGCCTGTTCTTCAGGCATCTGTAACCGAGAGGGAAAGGACGGATCATAGGACATGGACACCAGTTTCCTCAGTCTATTAAATTCAGCCCTCTGTCTGCCTATCGAGACGGCACAGGCAGGGAGGCAGGCCTGAGCCGAGCTGGGAGCAGCATTCCCGGCCCGGGGGTATTTACTGGGGCTGCCCCGGTGGAACATTGCCCTGTCCTGGGCAGCCTCCCTCGCTGGCACACGGAACTGGGGTCCCAAGCAGGTAGGAAGAACAGCGGGCCCTTGGGGCGGCTTGGCAGGAAGGCCAGGGCCTGCCCCTGGGACGGGCCAGCGCGCAGTGCAGATTTCATCTTTCCCTCATCATGGGACCTTGGCCCACTCATTTTAGCTCCTTAGCTGCTTTTTTCATTTAAGTAGAAATGTTTTTCTTTCTTATTTGCTAGAAATATGGCTACTTAAAGAACAACTTCTTTATTCTAAGGTTTGTGTAATGCTTCACAGACCACGGTAACACTCGCGGTAGCGCCTGAAGTATTGCAAAAACCCTGCTTTACTTATTTACAGATACTAGCCGTTTATGATAATACTTGCATCTTCCATGGCTTTATGGAAAAACACTCCTCCAAGAAATTGGCAAAATGTCTAGTTTTCAAAATAGGAAAAAGTGCTGGCAATGTTATTTAAGGCTTAGTGTGACTGCAGCAAACTTTCAAAATGTCAAGAAGGTAGGCGGGCTTCTGTGGAACAAGATGATGGAGGTGGGCTAAGACAGAAATCACTGGGAATAAAGCAGCGCTAAAGAGCAAATCAGATGAAGTGAAAAATAAGAAAATCACCACAAATAAGTAGTAGAAAGGTAGGGCTTGGGCTTGGAAAGAAACAGACCTCTGAGGCCTCTGTCACGGGCAACCCCACCCCGCGGGTGCTGAAGGAGAGAAGGCTGCAACCTGCCCACTCAAAACAGGACCACGCTGGCGTGATGGGAGCAGCACGCTCCAGCCACGCACTGAGGTGACAGAGACCTGCCAGGGGGCCGGCTTCGGGCGAGGGGCATGTCCTGGGGATGAAGCCGAGAATAATCACATAGGCTCCTGACCCTTTGGGAGACGACGTCTAATTAAAACAACAAGAATTTGAGATCGTCCCCTGTGATGGATCATTAATTAGCCCAACTGTGGTAATCATTTCCCAGTGCACACGTGCATCAAACCACCACACTGAAGGCGCGGCCCCATGCCTGTCTCTCGCTATGCATTGCTATGTATCTACAGAAAACACACCCAGACTTTAGCTGTCAGGACAGAAACCCAATGTCTGTTAAAGTCCTAGGTTGCTCGTATTTTTACATATCGCCCAAGGTAGGCTCGTAGTTAAGATGCACCACGTCTGTCTTTCACTTACAATGCAACCTACGCAAAATGTCCTGAAGCTTTTCCAAAGTTTCCCTTTACTTAGGGAGAAAAAAAATCCAGATGACCGAAAACACGCAGGCGCAGGCTGTGCCCCCACCCAGGAAGCCCAGCCACGCGCCCTCTTCGCACCCCTTCCCAGGTTCCCCGCTGCAGAGCTTCCCCACACTGGGCTGCTCCCCTTGCTGGGAATGCTCTACTCTCCATTTCTCACAGCTGTGGGGAAAAAATTAGACACAAAGGAGACAAAGTGCACACCCGTTCTCCTTTTCAGGTTCCCCCTTAACTGGCAGCTGGGGGAAAGCCTGACCCTAGAGCCTCCCTCTCTATAATCCTGAATCAAACCTCGCACGGACCCTGCGCTGCCTCCCTGCAACTCCTGGCGGTAGGGACTCTGCCGGCAGCAGATCCCCGCCCCTGGCGGCGGCCGGCCGGAGGGCTCGCTCCTGACCACCAGCGCAGTTTCGAGCCGTAGCAGGCGCTCACTGGCCTCTGGACCGTCACCTGTGTGGCACTGTGCCAAGGATTTTAACTTGAGTCATGAGGAAGTTATCAGACCAGTCAAGAATGTGGGTGCTTTACAAGACACTTTGCTTCAACTTTTCAAAACTGTTGATGGCTTGAAACATACAAGAAAGGCAAGGAACAGTTCAGATTTGAAAAAGGAGACAGAAATGACAACCAGATGCAGTGCCTGAATCCTCACAGGGCTTCACTGGGTCGGCGACGGGGCACGGAACGAGGGCTATGTGCCAGCTGACGAGCCCCGGGGGCTCCAGAGGGGGCTGTGGTTATGTCTTAGGACATGCTCAGTATCTTGGAGTAAAGTATCTTGATGTTCACGCCTTAAAAACAAAATCCTCAATTTTTAAACTTTTTTTTTTTTCAGTTAAAAAATGAGTGTATAAAAGAAAAAGCAGTATGGAAAAATATTAATTAATGGAATCAGGTGAAAAAAGTATAGGTCTGAGGGACCATCAATGACTGAAGGGGAGGAGAGGGGGAGGGAGGAAGGAAACGGCACCACAGAAGACCAGTTTCTGTACCTCCCTCCCACTACAAAATAAACCCCAAAACAAGTTATTAGTGAAAGTGGCCACTTGAGACAAGACACAACCTTGCCAAGAGTCCCAAACCAACAGTCAACCTATCCACCACCCTGCACTAGTTTCAGCACTGTCACTTCCTCTCACCGTGTTTCGCTTCCATGATGATGACATTAAATGAAGGGATGGGCTTCCAGACACGGGATCTGACACTCATGCCGTGGAGCCTGGCCAAAGCCAATGCAGACACAGACTCAAGTCGAGGGCCAGTCTGAGGCAGCCACAGTAAGCCCTGACAGACCGACTACTCACGTGGAGGAGCAGAACAGCGGCGAGAAACGACTGCCCCTGGCAGTAGCCGATCTCTTCGTCATACACCGAATATGCCTAGAAAGAAAGGAAACGCGGGTCAGTGCTTGCGGGCCCCAGCTGCCTTCTAGTCCTGAGCACAGGAGCCGGGGTGCTACCACACTCCAGCGGCATCCGGTGGGCAGGAGCCATGCCAACCTTTCTTTCCAGTCGCAACTTTTTCTTTCTCCATTAGCAGTCATCACACCACCGTCTGCAGCAGGGGGCGGGGACGCCAGCGGGAGCGGCCCGGCACTGACCAAGGCCGCAGCACCCCCAGCCTCTGCTCGGGCCTCCTGGTGTCCCGGAGGCCCTTCTGCCTCTCCCCGCGGGGGAAGTTTTCCAAATACAGTCTGAGCTCCAGACCCCGTTCCTTCTCTAGGGCACCTGACCAGCCGCACAGCCACCAGGGCTGCATTTCAACGCCCCTCCTGTGTGCTGGGCTGGCGCTCGGGGGCAGCAGCAGCGTCCTGCCCGCCGCAGCCAGAGCGCCAGCAGAGCAGGCACGCACCGAGCCCTGCTAATGTCACTCATTTTTCTTTCTGGGAAAAAGACTTTTTGGCAAAGGCAGTAAATGACAATTCTTTCCACAATGCCAGTAATAACTTTTCTGATAAGAGGGATGACTGAAACCAGCCGTGGGTTCCTCTGGAATTCTTAGTTTTGTATTTTGCTTGGCCGATGATGACTAACCATCTCTTCTGAAAATTATCTTTAGTAGAATATTGGCATCTAACATGCCTTGTGGTTTCACTCTTTGGTTCTTTAGCTGCTTTTGAAGAGCCCTGCTTTTATGATTCATATTTGCACTTCTTAGGCAAGGTGTGATGAAAAGAGGAATTCCGATGGATTCAAATGCTATTTCCTATTTGACAAATTTCTTTCTGCTAAAACTCCCTTTATTCTCCACTGTGTGTGTGTGTGTGTGTGTGTGTGTGAGAGAGAGAGAGAGAGAGAGAGAGAGAGAGAGAGAGAGAAAATATGAGCCAAGGCTCCTGTGCCCTAAAAAAGCAATTTAATTTAAATCAGGTATGATTATAATTCAGGTCACTGAATTCTAACTGATGCTAATGTTTATCTTGTGACAATTAAGTCAGCATACACCCATTCTTTCATTAGCTTTTGGTAAAACTATAACTTAAAAATACAGGCAGACTTTAAAATGGTCTCATTGTATCTCACATTTCATCAGTTTACCTGATAAGAGAGAGGGCTGGAGAAGGAGACACACACACACTTCTTCAAAGACAAGACTTGCAGAGGGCTTTAGAAGTCATCTGTTTATAATAAAACCAGGTAGCTTCTGCACCTATCAAATTAATAAAGCCTAACTACTGTTCACACCAATGTTGCTGAAACTGTGAAAAACTAGCATAAGATATGCCCACACAGCTCTGGGGAAAGCAGTTTGCCAACATCGTGAAGGAATCAATCAACAGCTGACAGGCGAGAAAGAACAGAGACATCAGGGTTAGTCAGAGCCAGGCTGAAATCCTGCAACTGCTCATGTCTGGGTCTGCTACTTATATTCCTTGTTTGAGAATAACGTGGTATTTACACCATGGAGTTGATTCATTACTCCCCTCCTCTCGTGAAGTGCTCAGCACGTGGCTCGGTCAATCATGTGCCACAGCCAGCATGTACTGAGTTTCCAGAGGTACGTTTTACCGCCCATGGAAAAGGATGAAGCAAAGTGCATGGTGTATCTGGGAAACGGCTGGCATGTCAGGCCCATGGAGGCCACTTGGCATACAAGGCACAGTGGCATTTCATCAGTTCACCAACATTCAGCGAGCACCTATAAGCAAATACACACCTGTGTGCTGAATGCCAAGTGTGCTAACACAGGTAAGAAATGGTTGCTTTCCTTTACAGTTGGGAACATTTTCATAAGTAAATCAACCAGAGAGAAGTTCAGTGCGGTTGAAGCGTACAATGTTTACGGAATGAGTCAGTAATATTACAAATGTTAATAAGCTGAAGAATCTAGTGAGAGAAAATAAATTAAGGAGTTTTTATTTCATATTGTGGCTCATGGCTTTTGTGGAAGCCACTGAAATGATCCAGTTCTGGAGCTTATCTGAAGAAAATAATGAATAAGCCAGAACCCCACAGAGCAACACTGATAAAGGCAGCTCTTGTACAAGTATGAGCCACAGGTGACAGAGGCCTGCATCAACGTACAGAGCGCAGACGGACACCTGGCTGCGAGATGCTGGCCATCAAATCCAATGTGACCAAAGGAAAGAAATAAAAGCTAACAGAAAAATGATCCCATCTTCAGCAAATGGCATGAGGGAAAAAGGAAGGTTTGGAATTAAGAGAGATAAAACAACCCGATTATAACCAAGTGGACAGGCTACATTTAGAGACATCTGAATGTGAGTGGCTACTGGATGGTACTGAGGGATACTGATCTTAATTTTTAGAAAAGCGCAGCAAAGAATTCAGGATCACAGTGTCTAAGATATGCTTTATAGTACGCCTGGAAATAGTTTTGAAAGAGATAAAGTGACTGTGACAATAGAGAAGTACTAAATCTGGTGGGGGAATATATATAAATTAATCCTATTATTGAAATTTGATCTATGTTTGAAAATTTTGATGACAAAATGTTTTAAAAAAAACTCTATCGTTAGACCTGCGTGTTTGATGTACCTGACAGGTTTCTGAGGGGAGCACAACGAGCAGCTAGAAATTTAGGCCTTGAGCTAGTGCAGACTTGGGAACATCTGGGCTGCATCACAGCAGAAGCGTGGAGGTGGGAGGGTCACGAAGGGAGAGGTGCAGAGCAAGAGGAACTGCCGACTGTGCACCTGAGGGAGCCCCTCTCAGGGCAGGCAGGCAGACAGCCACGAAGGAGGAAGCAAGGCAGTGAGAGAAGTCTCCTGGGAAGGGGAGAAGGGCGAGGAATCAGAGAGAGACAGAAACCAGCAGGAAACCCTGAAGCAGCTGGAGGCTGCAGGGCTCAGAGGCAAGCACGCCGGGAGGGATGGAAAGCTGGAGCGGCTGCCTGAGAGGGAAGGGCCATGAGAAAGGGGCAGGAGAAGCAGAGTAGGTATCAGTTTGTACTCCTATAATGAAACTGAAATAAGCCCAGGAAATATGTCTCTAATTTTTACATGCCCTCATAGTTTACTTATTTTTTTTAAGATTTATTTTTATTTATTTATGCATACAAGAATTGGGGCATAGGTCAGGAATGGGGGTGAGAGGATTCGCCAGAGCGAGGAACAGGCAGACTGACTGACACAATGCTGTCCTCACAGACAAGTCCCAGGCGTGTCTCTGCTTCTCAGAGATCAGTAGATGTGAAAGAGACACTTGACTGGTTTGGGGGAGTAATGTTCTGAGTAGAGGGGAAGGCTAGAAGAGCTCTGGTTCATCTTTTGAGACATAGATGGCTCCTCAGAGCCAGACCTCCTGGAAGACAGTAAAGAAACTGTCGTTTCCTTTGCAGCTTTCAGGTACAGACTGTTGAAAAATGTCAGTACTTCCCAGCATTTACTACATCAAGTGACGTATGTCTACTTGGGCCGACAGGGCACCCCCACTGTAGAATGTGTTTCAGGTTACAAGTTCACCAAGCGTGTGAATACTGAGAAGGAGTTTACAATGTGATAGGATTCGCAAGGTTTAACATAACACCAGTTTTTAAAACTCTCAATGTGGAGCCAGGGGCCTGTCACCTGCAAGGCCTATGTTAGGAAGGCAGCAGAAACATGGCTTCCCTCATGGCCTTCAGGCTAAGTCTCAATGCTGTCACTGCTGTGGCCCAAGTTTGATCCCCAGCCAGGGGGCTGACCCACACGGAGCAGAGGCCTCTCTTGTCTCTTCCGCTGCTCCCCTCGGCAATGTGTTTCAGTCCCTCTGCCTGTTCCTGCCCATTCTGCTCCCCACTGTCTTTGGTGAATACTCTCACCCCCCGGCACCTCTAGCCTGCATCTTAGTTCTTGAATGCATAAATAAATAACTGAAAGGGTAGCAGGAACACAGACACCTTATTTCCAATTATTTGCTGTTTGTTATGAGTCTAAAACTGTTCTTACCTTTGATGTTAAAGTTGTTTCTCTCCTTTTTTACACCAAATACAAATTATACTTTATCTTTTGCCTAATTTTATAGAACTAGAACCACCACTCAATAGTGAGTCTTTTTACTGATGTGAATTACCTTGCATATTTTATATAAGGAGTCTTGTCCATCTCCTCCTGTGTCCTTGAAGTAATCATGGGCTGGGAATGTCCGGTTAATATCCCGGGTGATGGCGCTGTCCTGGGGAGACTCCTGTGGGAACATGAAGAAAATGGCCCATGTGCTTGTTTGACTTTATACAAGCTATCTCATTTAAATGCTTACAATACTGCAGGGACCGACATATACACATACACGTGTAGAGTTATTTCTTCAGGGACCAAACACTTAAAAGAAAAATCAAGTATGGATTAAAAAAAAAAAAAAGATGAGAGAAAAGCAATCTATCTCACTCTACACACAGCAAGGAAGAGGCCCTGTTGCAAGGAAGTGCAGCTAGTGATTTGTGCTTTCTATTGTAAGAGGAAAACGTGCTTTGCAAAATGGATTTCCCACAGGAAAAAATACTCAAGCTAATCACACGAGAGAAGTGGAATCGTTTCCATTAGAAAAACTGCATACGAAAACTTGTTATAATTGAGTCTTGGGAAGGAAGCCTATGTGCTAGGTTCTCAAACAGAAAAGAGGATCCCTCTTATTGTGGTCTAGCCTTGAGGCAAAGGCATAAAAGTGCACACAAGCAGTGTGCTCTGTCTGAGGGAAGACCACTACCTGCCACGGGAAGCTGCTCTTGCTTTTTGCCAGTGGAGAAAAACTGTTTCCTCTTCTACTATGAGTTAATGAGAACTGGTACCTGTCAACAATGTCAGCAATCCTTCCTGAAACATCTCAAGCACCCTGCCTCTTCTAATACCTTCCCTCACGCCTGGAGGCTACGAGAGGCTGTCTTCTCAGCTGAGGCTGTCTTCTCAGCTGAGGCTGTCTTCTCAGCTGAGGCTGTCTTCTCAGCTGAGGCTGTCTTCTCAGCTGAGGCTGCCGACGCCCTCCATTCTGCTTGGTGAGCATGCGCAGAGCACCGCCAAGAGGAGGATGCTCCTGTGTGAAAATGAAGCTGCGCACGGCAGTCCCCACTTGTCCAGTAAATTCTCTTAGCCTTTGGATACTCATGTCCCCAGGGCCATAAATATTTTAGTCGTGCGATTTAAACGAACTTAAATGTCTATGTTCTATCTTAACCAGTAAACTATTTAAACCTTTGAGGATCTTGCTAAGCTGCTTCCCAGAGAACTTTACCGGGCTACCTACTACTAGCTTGAACAGCAGGGAAGGCGGTGCAGAAGCGCAGTAAGCTCAAACAAGCCTCCAGCTAGGACAGAAGATAACCAGTGACTGTTCCCAGTTCCCAGCACAGGGAGCGGCAATGGAAACAGAGCTAGGGGTGGGAGTGTCTCGCTGAGGGGAAGAGAGAGCTGCAGAACCTGGGGAGGGCACAGCAGCTGGCACTGAAGGAAAGGGTACTGAACAGAAAGAGACCTGCAGGCCATGAATCATAAAAGAAAAATAAGCTGGACATCATTAAAACCAAAGTCTATCTGATACTGGAATTGTATCTGGATTATATATCTTTTAAACCATAGCAAGTGATTTTTTAAAAAGGGGGATGGCAGTAAAAGACTGAACATGCCAAAGAAAACAAGATAGTAGACGGCATATAAAAACTTCAGCATCACTAGTCAGGAGGGGAATATAAAAGAAAACTACAATGAGATTCCACTACATACCCACTAAATAAAAAAATTAAAACAAATGCTGGTAAAAAGGTGTGAAATAATCAAAACTCATACATTGCTGGTGGTGATGAAAAATAGTACTAATATTTTGGAAATCATTTGAAAGGGTCAATAAAGTCAAATATGTTACTTACCATACAATTCCGTGATTCCACTCCCATGTATTTGTCCCAGAGAAATGAAAATATTAACACATGCAAAGACCTGAACTCAAATGTTCATGGCAGCTTTATTGATAACAGTCAAAAAGGAGAAACAATACAGATGTGCTCCAATGGGCAAATGGGTAAGCAAGTTGTAGTATTATCAATATGGTGGAATACTACTCAGCAATAAAGAGGGAAAACTAGTGAAATGCATGGTATGGATGGGCCTCAGAAGCACTATACTAAGTTTCCTTCAGAAAAAACTAAGTGAAAGAAGTTAGACACAAAAGACTATCTTCTATCATTCCATGTATATGAAATTCAGAAAAGGCAAAATGATATGTTATGGTGTGAAGAGGCTAGGGTTAAAAGGAGAGACTGTTTCTTTAGAGACATGAGGGAACTTTTGAACCAAAGTAAATAGTATTCATCACATACATGGTGACAATGAAAATGTATTGCATATTTCACTTAAAATTGGCATGTTTTATTTATTGTATGTAAATTACATGTGAAAAGGGGTATTTTTAAATGGAAAAAAGGATACTCATACAAATGAAAAAAAGACAAAATGATTCACAAGCCTTTTCCTACTCTTACTTTAGATGCACAAATGATAACAATGTAGAGCTACATTTACCAGAAGACCTTAAAGCCAGGGTTAGCTTTAAGACATATCTTTTAGACATAACTTCTGGCTCATTCTCTCATTAGCTATCCAATTTTAAGCAAGTTTCTTACCTGCCCTTGGTAATAGCTACCTTATGAAGTTGTAATGAGGATGACATTAAATGTCTATAAATTATAAATAAAATGCTTCTGGCAGAAATGTCTAAGTATATAGAAGACACTTGAAAAAACGAAAAGGAAGCAAAACCCAGCACTGCTGACAGCTGGAGCACAGCTTCATATACACGCTACTGATCTCACACACGTGCTACTGATGTACAGAATAAATACACATACACATTGGGACCTAAAGTGTATACTATTTTATCTATCCTACCCTCATGAAATGATTCATCTTGGGATACAAAATGTGACTCAGTTTTATTACTGCTACAGTTTTGTTTGGCTACAGAGTCTAGCCAAATGCATGGCAACAATCAATGCTTGATAAATATACTAAATAAAAATATAAGCCCTTTTTTAGGATGGAGCAATGCAACGCTCATGTGACATAAGCACTGTCCTGCCCAACCCAGGGTCTCTAATGCTGGCTCTTAATTCAAGACCCATGTGAATGGGGCAACAAACTAAATCAGGAATGAACATTATCAACTGAATAATATAACAGCTACACTAAGTATCTGAAACAAGCCAAAGATGCTATAAAGGTTGACTCATAAGTTGCCTCCACACTGTGTAAAAGCAAGCAACAGAAAAAAACTCTCGTGAGCCAAGATTAGAGGTTATACAGAAAGTAAAGATTTTGTGTTTTAGCTTAAAATTCAATATAAATCAACCTTCTGCAATTATCAAGAGAAATAACAAGGAAAGTTTAATATTTTTACCTATGCTAAAAATATATGCTAAGTTACTGTGCGTGATGGGATTTCTTTTCAGCCTAGGATTATTTAAACTTTCCTGAACTGTTATAATTTAAAAAGCACATGTAATGTGAAATACCCACACACAGAGACTCACAGACATATATTATCTGCTAGGAAACTAAGAAATCTTTATCACTAATAAATCTGTAATTTACAAAATCCATAATTATTTCATGAATAGCTCACACAATCAACAATGTGTTATAAACCATCCCAACTTTCATCTGAATCGGCAGCATAAGGAACACCTCACTCCAAGCATCAGTAGAGATAAAACAGACTGAGCCACATTAAGGTTTAAGTTTTTTTCTGCTTCTACGCAAGCAGTATATGTATCTGAAAAGGAACTTTATCCTGATCATAAGAATATACAATAAAATGGATAAAATTTTGAGCACTTGATAAAATATAAAAGTGGCAAGTAAGCAAATGAAAAGCCATCGCCAATTAAAGGCATAATATATGGAATATTACATAGCCACGAAAAGGATGAAACAATGGTTTCAGGGACAAGACAGATAGACCTTGAGGTGGTTATGTTAGGTGAAATAAGTCAGAAAGAAAGATAAAAATTGGATGAGTTATTCATTTGTAGAATATAAATAATAAAAAAAAATACACTGGCAAAAAAGACAATAGGAAAAATCATGAACTCAGTAAAAGAATTTAATGGTTATCAGAGGGAGCAGACAGGGGCTGGGGAATGGGTATTTGATGGTAGGTGAGTGGAACTACGCACATATGGAAAAGCAAAAAATTTAATCTCTAAATTAAAAAACAAATATTATGTATATGAAAATATACAATAAAGCCAGCCAAAATGTTTATCTAAGGGAATCATTTCTTTTTCAAGGAAAACAGGGCTCCTACCTCAAACACTCAAAAAAGGCTGTAAATCAATTAAATGAGGATCTGAAACATATGAATTATAATTTGAAAGACTGATGAGGATTCAAAAGCAACATTAAGCAATTTTTGAAAGGATGTGAAACTTAACGGCGGGTGTGGGGGAAGAAGAAGGGAGGCTTAAAGACAAACATTAAATGAATAAGGTAAATTTTAGTGTGGGAACACTTGGCAGAAATGATAAACAGACATGTTACTGACTTATATTCGGAGTGCAGCTATCAGGAATTAGTCTGGAAAAAACCTGTTAATTCTATTCTTCAATATAGCTTCATCTCTAGAGAGTATTCTAATTTTTCACATGTACTCCAGGAATTCGTCAAACAACAAAGTCCTGAAATACATTAAGAATGGTAAGATTTGGGGGAGGGGGGCAACTAGTTTTGGGTTTTGATTCCTTCATTTATCCCAAGAAAAACAGCTGGCATAGCCTGAAGAAAACTAAATGCCAGATGATTATGCAGAATTAGCATCTTACAAACTTTTTCTACTTAGAGTCAGATAGCAAATATTTTTGTCTTTGTGGGTCATTCAGTGTCACGGCTCCTCAATTCTCTCTTTATAGCATGAAAATACCCTAACAACATACAAATAAACAACATTTATGTATAATAAAACTTTATTTACAAAAGCAAGGAGCTTGCTGGATTTGCCCCCCACCCCCCACAGGGCACAGCCTGTCAAGTCCAGCTCTAAATATACTGTACACAGCAATCTGTCATGCCCAATATGACCAAAGTGAAGATTTTTGTAATGATTTTAATATACTGACATGCTGTTGTTGATTTAACTGCACACATTTTACCCATAGAAGTCACAGATAAACTGCAGTCACTTGAAAGATGCATTTCTTTTAA